AGCCCCCTCGGGCCCCCGCCGCCCCGGCCCCGCTGGGCAGCAGCTTCCAGCACTGGGGAGGGATGCCCTGCCCGTGCAGCATGTGCCAGGTGCCCGCGCCGCCTCACCACCACGTCTCCAGCATGAGCACAGCCAGCCTGCCCAGATTAGCCACCGACACCAAGTGAGCAGGCGGAGGGGAGCTGCCGAAGCACGGTGGGGATGGGGAGAGAGACTCCTGGCCCGGAGGAGACGCGGGCACATTCGGGGGACACAGACTCTCTGGGGGCCTCCCGCACAGGCACAGATAAGGACTTACAAGGACATACCGGGCTCATCCACCATTTTTAAATGCACCCTCCCCCACTCACAGGCTGGTCCCGGGGCACTTTCAGGCAAGTTCCACCGTAGCGAGCGGGACCGAAGGCGCTCAATCACTGAAGCCCCGGCAGAAAGCGAGGGGAACAAAATCCAGTTCCTTCTTCCTCTACGCAGAACTGCTCCTCTCTCCTCCAGCAGGGAAAGGAGGGGGCCAGCCTGCCGTGCAGCACTTGGTGTTCTGTCCAGTTTCAATAGCAAGTGTGTAAACGCACAGAGCATTTTTACACGACATACATGTGCGTCTTTTGTAACTTGGATAGGAGTTGAAAATAGTTAGAGATTCTTCTCAACGGAAATCACCAACATTGCAGAGGGTGTTTTGCTTGTTTGTCTTTATTATTTTTACATATTCAACGTTTTCTGGTTCAGATACTAAGAACTGTAAGGCAGTTATTCGGAGCACCCGGCTGGTCACTTCCTACCAACCTAATCTCCAAGAATGAAGGCTTTAGATGTAAATGTAGCCTGCAAAGTTTCCGGGGGGTTGGATTTGTAAATACACTGTCCGATGATGATGCAAGTCCCTTATGCTTGAGCTTTCTGTTTGTGCACTTGTACTGGAAACCTTTGAATGGTAAAGGGCTTTTTTGTTTTGGTTTAGTGTATAACACGTTTTTCTTTTCTGCCACCATTAACAAAGTTACAAAACTCTTTAATGCGCTGTCTATGTAGGAACTCCAAGCTGCCTGTGTTGCAATACTGAGAACTTGGGCTTGTTTCTGAAATAACAATTTTTCTTATTACTGCCCCTTGCAGAGATTTTATCATCTGTTTATTTTTGTAAAAAAAAGTTGCTAAATAATATTTATTACTTGTTTGGTTGCAAAAACAAAATGAGTGATCTACTGTTGAGATTTTAAATAAAAAACATTTTAAGTACATTGCTTTTTTCCACCCATTTATGTTCTGAGAATTCTAGAGGCCCGGGGTGAAGAAGAACAGGACTTACTTACTTTTAGAAAAAAATAATACGGCATCATGCTTAAATAGACCAGAAACAGATCGAAAAGGATTTAGAACATTTTAATGTAATACTTCCAGCTTTTTTTCCGAACACTCATACCAAGTTGCGATACAAACTGTTTCCCCTTTAGTCCTCTAAGTAGCAAGAATAATAATTATCAATTATATCAGTGTTTGTCGTCCACACTTTTAGGAGTTTCTTAAACAAAACTCAGCATTTAGTAAAGACAGGAGAAGAAAATATTGAAAGGTTGGTGTTTCGTGGTCGTTGTTTAAATAATTCAAAATAAGAGACGTTAGACAAAAAAAAAGTTGATTTGGGAGATTTCTACTTCATTGTGTATCGATGTATTTGCATATTAAACTATCCTGTGCCGAGATAGCCAGACACAACAAAATATTGGAACAACATTTTAGTTCTCGTGTGCTTTATACCTCCAACTTAAAAATGATTAATTTGATTTAAAAGGCAGGTTTGGGGATATGGTTTGCACTCGAAAGGACGCCGTATTTCTTCACTTCTAAAAAAATTAACTCCTCTTCTTAGCAAAAAACAAACAAAACCAAAAAACTTTGCAAATATGCAGTTTTGCTTTGGGTGTAAATATACTTAAGATTTGACACCACACCCTGGGTTCGAGTCGAATCCCGCAGAAAGAAATAGCAGCAATCCCATCTGATTTCATCGGAGCAGGATCGGCTCCCTCATTTTCCCATTTCACTCTTCCTTAGCGCTTTCAGCTTTATTACCACTTCACTTAACGCACTAGATTTTACTGCACTCCCCCCACACTAACACGCCTGTCTATTGAATAGTGCAGAGAGCTTCTTTAGCAATAGGATTGCCCGCGCGCCCGTTCACACACGTACACGCACACCCACACACTTAGTTTCCTGCTCCTACTTCTGCAAACACTTCAGTGGCTCCAGAGTCTGAGTTTTTTATTTAGGCAAAACGCCAGTGGACTTTAATCCGAAGGTGCACGGCATCTGGCCGGCAAGTCTTGTCTTTTTTCCGGAGCCATTTTCAAAAATGACATAAAAACTCCTTGATGTTGACACGCAGATATTCCAGAAGGCGGCTTTGTGCTGCCAAAACCTGCCAGGGCAGGGAATAGATTTAAATTCTTCGGGGGCATTTTTATTCAAGCATTGAATATTTTGAAGCGATGCCCAAAGCATATTTCAGCGCGGGCTTGGACATCCCAGTTTTTGCTTGCGTAAGAATCCTGCAGCTTTCGAGGTATTAGACCTGGGTGTCTCTCTAAGGAAGGGCAGGGAGCCCGAGAAACTTGCTCCATGATTTGCCAGGAGGACTGGAATTTTCTGAATTTGCTTGTCCAGATAAACCCCTTTTTCTCCGTCAAGGAGCAATAGGACTTTTAAAAAGTGAGGAGCAGGGAAGAGGGACGTAAATTCATGTGATGGGCTAAAATTCTCTCACTCCACTAAGACCAGTAAGCCTCACAGCTTCCATGGGAGAAGAAGAGAGGGAGAGATTTAAAACTTCTCTCTTAATGTTATCACCACATTTCAAGGCAAAACCTTGCCACACAAACGCCACATGGTGGATCGCACTCCCTGGAAGTGGGGGCAACTAACAGCCCTTCCCTGTGCGCAGATATCGCTTTTAACCCCCTGCTAGGAACTGGTGGCAATGCGTTAAGCTAGTTCCTACCCACAGAGGGGCCAAATCCTGCTTCCCACCAGAGACCGTGGCTAAATTCCCGATGTGTGCAGGATCCTGCTGGCAGGGCATTGTATCTGGCAGTGAGAAACTGGCATAGCAAGAGACGGCGCTTAAGGCTCCAGACGGTCTTTTGGGCTCGGGTAACATACCAGACAGACAGAGACCATTAGCAATTGTTTCGTGTGCTAATTTTGACCGTGGCCAGGATTACTCTGAGCAGCAAATGCCAACACAGCCAAGGAGACTCTAGGGAAAAGCAGTTGGGAAGATGTCCGGAGACACCACCCCCTCTGCCGCAAGTTAACGTGGCGCTCTGTTTGAAGGTGACCAGAGCATCCATTGGGATTTCCAGTGTGGAGGACCAACGGGGTCCATTAGATAAGGTGAGGAATAAATGCAAAAAGCGAGGAGTCCTGTGGCACCTTACAGACTTTCTATAGGAGACTCTAGGGAAAAGCAGTTGGGAAGATGTCCGGAGACACCACCCCCTCTGCCGCAAGTTAACGTGGCGCTCTGTTTGAAGGTGACCAGAGCATCCATTGGGATTTCCAGTGTGGAGGACCAACGGGGTCCATTAGATAAGGTGAGGAATAAATGCAAAAAGCGAGGAGTCCTGTGGCACCTTACAGACTTTCTATAAGCATAAGCGTTGTGGGGCCAAGCTCCACTTAGCCACTCACACGTGCGTTCTTCCCCGCCTCACCCTCCCACCTTCGTTAGGACGCGGGCAGGCCCCGTCGCCCAGTCCCCTGCTGCAGCAAAGAAAGGAGTTTCTTCTGTTCTCAGGGCACGGGTTAAGAAGGATTGTCCTTAAATAGCCCTCGCCCTTACGCGCTTATTTGCCAGTTCTACAGCTGTCCTCTCCCTTATACGGCAATCTTCATGGCTTGAAAAGGGGGGGATAAAATCGAACAGCCCACGCACAAAAGCTAGTGTCCCTGGCCTCTGTTTGTCAGAGACTGGAGAGGGATCATGTGATGATTACCTGTATCTGTTCACCCCCTCTGGGGGTCTGGCATTGGCCCCTGTCGGCAGACAGGACACTAGGCTAGATGGACCTTTGGTCTGACCCGGTCTGGCCGTTCTTCTCTAGTTGTTGTTTTGCTTAACAGTAAGTGGAGTTTATAGGCTTTTCACCCCATCTCCGTCTTCAGAGTTAAACGGGTAGCACTGTGAGCTATAGCAGCACCAACCTTCTCAGAGCAGCAGCAGAAAGGGCCTGGGGTGAGCCGCGCCAGCAGAAAAGGGGTGGGAAGAAAACGCCAGCCACAAAGCTATTCGGTGTGTCATCCCCAGCTGCAGGGACGGAACGATAGGGTCTCTTCGCCCTGGGCACAAGGTCACAGAGACAGGTGAGTGTGTCTGTAATATAGGGGCTCAGGCACATAGCCCGCGTTACCCCCATTCGGCCTGCAGTCTGGAGTCCATCAAGCTGCAGACCGCTGTACACGGAATATAGGACCCAGGGAGTGAAATCCGGCCGCGTTGACTTCCGTGGGGACAACATTTAGCCCAGGGAGTGTTTTGCTGGCACCCAACGTGCAAAATATGGGACTGGTTTCTAACACAAATATCCTTCAGTAGAAAGAACAAGCAGCCCTGGGTTTTCCCTCCACAGTATTTTCAGACGGCTAACAAGGTATTATTAGCAGCCCTTAGCAGAATTCCCCTCTCTCTTTATCAGAGCGTAGTTGGCATGAAACCCGGTGCTTTTATTTTCAAGATAAACTTAAAAAACAACAAATGGTCTGGCAGCACTTCATAGACTAACAAAACATGTAGATGGGATCGTGAGTTTTCGTGGGCACAGCCCACTTCTTCTTAGCCGCCATCTGTACCGATGCTACTAACTCTGAAGAATTACCCGCCCCGCCCCCCCAATATCTCGAAGTTTGCCCTTCGCAGGGTTGAAGGATCACTGCTTTAGGCCTGCGAGTTTAACAGGGCACTGCGAACGCCAACCCGTCAAAGTAAGGCCTGGCATGGCAGGCCCTTTCGGCAGGGAGTGCTTTGTGCATGACAGCTACCGCACCGGCTCTCTTCTTTGCGGGAAGGGATCCGGTCACCCGCTGTCCCAGGGGCACCTCGAAGTTTGCCCTTCGCAGGGTTGAAGGATCACTGCTTTAGGCCTGCGAGTTTAACAGGGCACTGCGAACGCCAACCCGTCAAAGTAAGGCCTGGCATGGCAGGCCCTTTCGGCAGGGAGTGCTTTGTGCATGACAGCTACCGCACCGGCTCTCTTCTTTGCGGGAAGGGATCCGGTCACCCGCTGTCCCAGGGGCACCGCTTAGGAACCCGCGCTAGCAGTAATGGTCGGATCCCGCCACTATCTTGCAAACGACACTTCCCCCCCCCCCCCCCCCCCCCCCAGACC